GACTAAGAACTAGACATGTTTTTGGGAAAATAAATTAGTGTCTTACTTAATTATTTCCTAATTTTTGATAGATAAGCAAAAAAATATTATCACAAAAGCATTTCTATGAAATCTAGCAAAATATTATAGGGTGAGATGGGGGTTCGGGGGTGGTGAGGATGGGATGGATAAGGAGTTGCGAGCGTTGGGTGGGTAAGAAAAAAAGATGATAAACTTAGAACAATGTCATTTCACTTATGAGACTTGTTTTTTCCTATAAAGCTAATTATTTAGATACACTCTAGTTTGTAATATTATGAATCTTTTCAGATTTTGGTGCGTCCAGATAGATGTATCTCGTGATACATATGGTCAAAATTAGGTGTAATTTGTTCTAGAAACATTGTATCCAAGTGGATTTGCAAGTATCTGGGATACATAACAAATCTCACTGGTCTCCCTCCCCATTTTGTTCGATCCTATGTATCTGATACCCTAGATACATCTAAATCACACTAGATACATGTACAAATCTCGCTCATCTCCCTCCCATTTTGCTCGCCACTCTCTCCTATGTATCTGGTACCCTAGATACATGTGAATCAGGCCAGATACATGCATACAAATACATGTATCTAGTGTGATTCGCATGTATCTGGGATACATGACTATCTCACTCGCCTCCCTCCCCATTTAGTTCGCCTCTCTCCTTATTTCAGTGTATCTGGTAGCAAAAATACATGTATCTAGGTGTATCTTTCTTAATATATGATAAGAAACTCTTAATTAGTGTGTGGTAAGATACGTAATATTTTCAAAATATAAATAATAATTATAATATATATGGTAGTAGAGTATGTCTAATTATGTAAATTATATAAAAAATAAAAGTCGACAAAAGTTAGAAGGTTGGTTAATTATGATTTATAAATATGAACAATTATATAGCTCAACCATGAATGGTATTCATTGACAGGAGTGACCGCTTTCTAGTCGTAGTTGGCGGACTCAACTCATTCAGCCCAAGTAATCCACTCATAACTCAACATATTTTGACCCGTTTAAATTCAGTCAAATAAGTGCATATCTCTTGGCTTAATAGATTCAATTAAATTTACTGGTAATTATGGCCAGATTATCTTTGGACTATACATACAAGAGAACAGTCAATATTTCATTTATAAGAATTTATCTTCCTAGATTATGTTAATTAATCATGCTTTAAAAATCACAGTATAATTTAATACTAATCATGTATAATGCCCATTTTAGAACTCCTCTATAGCAAATTTTTAAGTGGAAAATTTGATTGGTGATCAAAAACTTCAATCCTCAAACATCTTGTAAATCAAGTAAGTTTAATTAATCTTTAGTAAATTCATTTTTGTGTTAATTATTTGTGTTATTTATATATTACTAGTTTTTTTTTTTGTTGGTATGTATATATATTAAGTATTCATGCGTGTAGATATTATTTTAATTTATGGTTGCAGACTATGTTGATTCGCCAAAAATTTGTTCGACAAACTTTATTGGTGTTATATTTTATTCTGAGTCATGACGGAGTTGAAGGAAAAATAAAGCTATCCAAACTAGAGGATTCGGAGTTGGAGAAGCAACTTAAACTTTTGAACAAGCCAGCTATCAAAATAATTAAGGTATATATTATAATTTGTGAGTGTTGTTGTACCTTTTATACATTGTTTCTAACTTCATTTTTATCTAGAAAAAATACTTCTTTTACGATGTTTTAAATGCAGACGAAATATGGAGATACATATGATTGTGTAGATTTCTATAAACAACCTGCATTTGATCACCCTTTGTTGAAGAGTCACAATTTTCATCCTAAGGCATGTTTCATACTCTTTTCATTTTACTTTCAATTTTCTTGATAATTATTTAGAATTGTTGATTAACACGATGTAAGTTATTGATGAACAGATGAAACCTACTTTAACTAGAAGAGCGCAAAATCCAGATATCTCATCAACGGCTAACAAGTCTTCGAGCATATGGTTAAAGGATAACGGTTGTCCTTTGGAAACTGTTCCGATTAGAAGAATTACTAAAGATGATCTTATTAGACAAAGAGATATTCCGTCACCGGAGGGTACCTTTGAATCCCCATTGACTAATGTAGGATAATGTTACCCCAAACCATTGCTTATCTCAAGTAAAATTCATTTTTTAACAAAATAGAAACAAAAATAATTGACCATTTGTATATGCTATTGTTTCTACAGATCAATAATAATCGTGAGCCAAAAACAAGTAACATATCCTCACAGGGATACAAGGTACACAAATATAATTATTTTTTTTCCTTAAAGACAAACATTAAAGGTCTTTGATTTGCCATTTTGGGCATTAAAAAAAAATACAAATAGTTAAAAAAATGGATTATTGGAAATTGGAATTATATTGAGCACTCATTTTCTCAATTTATCCTGGGTCCCAAATTTATTGTACCCAAAAGACAAAAAAAGTTATTTTTAAAATAAGATTTTCGATGAACATATATATATATATATATAGCTAGTTCCGATAAAATTATAATAAGTTAACAAAATCTTTTTCATATTCAGCTTGCAATAGTTCAAATTCCATATGATCCAAACAATAAGTTTGCTGGAGCTGGAATGTCTGCAAGTTTATGGAATCCTCGTATTGAAAGTCAACAACATACTGCATGTCGACTGAAAATTCAGAAAGGATCAGATATTTTACAAGTTGGTTGGAGAGTAAGCTTAACAACTTGTTTATTAATATATTATTTTTTTACTTTCAATATATAGCTAGTTTCTTTTATATTTAGGTATGTGTGTACCGGGGGGGGGGTTGGATTGGGTGGGAATTGAATAGGTTAGAACC